GCTACGCGCAACGCAAATCATGGTCCAAGTTGGACGGTATCCCCTTCATCGTGAAAGACGAAATGAGTGTAAGATGTTGGTGGCAGCCTAATTGATTCGTCTACCACAATTCTTGCTTTAGGTTGCAGGCTTCCAGGAGCTCGTCGGAACGAACCCAAAGGACAAGAAGAACCCCCGCATAGGGAAATTGGCGGTAGGCAAATCCTTAGCATGTAGGATACCCTATTGCATGATCATTAGACCAGAAATGACCCTGTTATCCAAGCTCTCATCGATGCTGGAGCTATACTCTTCGGCACAAGTGTGATGCATGAATATGGTATCAGCCCCGTCGGATTCAACGGTGAGAGGATCCACTTCAGCGTCTCCTTACTCCAACGTGTCATTTATTAGTGTGGGCACAAGGACCACTGAATGCGTATGACCCTACTCGCTACACTGGGGGAAGCTCCAGTGGCCCCGCCACAGGAGTAGCATTAGGCCTTGTAGGGTCGCATATCCGCTGGCTACTTCTCAACAGCCACGCCTCAAATGTTTCAGTTCCCATTTGCCATTGGATTCGATGGAGGTGGATCAATTCGCGACCCGTCCTCATGGTCTGGCGTCGTTGGAACCGTGGCAACATTCGGCGCGGTAAGCCTTTCTGTTGGATCACTCAAGTTTGCTGGTGGGCACCGAATTCGGCTAAGTCGTGGTCCCCGCAGTTGCTTCTTGAACGGCTCACTTCCTATATGTGTCTGATGTGAGGCCTCAGACACCTTTCGCCTTTGTTAGGTCCGATACGAGAATGCTGAAACTGAAATTTTTACGACACTTCACTGCGGCCCAATTACGACAAACGTCGCTGATGCAGCCATCGTCTTGGAAGTCATGGCCAACACTAAGAATAAGGTGAGTCGATAATTACTTCTTCCATACGTCGGGGTACATGATGTTTCGATGCCAGGCCACCACTTTACGATAAAGTCTACAGACATGTTCGGCATTCGCATGCGTCGATCACTTCGGTCCGCTGTACGCACAGGAGTCG